CAATATTCCAAATATGGATAAGATGTTCATAACTCTAGGCCATTCAAGATGTGTCACAGTGACAAATTTGCATCACTTTCATGTGGAAATGTCTTATGCCATCATTGACATACAACTTTAAGAGTTCAATGATCATTTTTCTGAGGTAAATAGTGACTTACTCCTCCATGTTGCATGTTTATGTCCAATTCATTTGCTGCTTTTGACAAGAACAAAGTAATTCGACCATGTAAGTCTTATCCAGAAGATTTTGATTCAACAAATATCTCGAAACTTGATGATAAATTAGATACATATATTCTTGACGTATGAACCAACAAAGATTTGAAAAGGTTACGAGACTTTAGTGATCTTGCACTAAAATTGGTTGTGAAAAATAAACATGAAGTGTATCCATTAGTGTACAAACTTATGATATTAGCAGCTCGAGGCATTTTCTCTATACCTTCTTATCCTGAAATAGCAGGGGCACCTTATGTTCTTGAACCGATAACCAATCTAATGATAGAGGGGCTGTGAAGACTTCACGATTCTCTTCTATGACTAAGGTAAGGAGAGAGATGAGATTTCTCTCGATTTTGGCATTGCGAGCCCCCAGTGGGAGGCTCACACGATGGGCTATTCCTTTGAAGCAGGTAATTAGATGCCAATTATGGCTCCTAACAATCTAGCTTCAGGTCATACGACGATTCTTTCACCATTTGGGAAAAATCCATTGTTCAACTCTTTGACAACATAAAAAACCAGAAGTTCTGCCCTCCCTCTGTGCCTTGGTTCTTTATGTGGCTACTGCTACAGTCGAGAGAGTCATTTCTACTATGATTTATGTTAAAAACCATCTGTGCAATCAAATTGGAGATTAATGATTGAATGATAATTTGATTACATATATTGAGAAGGATATAATTGATAGAATTAAAAATTATGTGATTATGGAATGCTATCAAAGTACGAAAATGCGTAGAGAACAATTGTAATAAGATATTGAATACATTAATTTTTTTCATTTTTTTATAAGTTAGATTGTGCTCTATTAACTCCAAATGTCTACGTCTGTCACTACTTGTAGGGAACATCGAATGATGACAAGATGAGCAATTCGTGGGGGAATTTTTTCCAATTCAAGATGAATGATGCATAAACATTGCACATGCTTTATTTTTCTTATTTAAATCAATGCATACAAATTGTATTACCAGCTTTGAACTGTTAATAAAAATCACAGTAAAGGTTAAGAGTTTGTCAATATTGTCATTTTCTCGGTATTCATTTTGACATATCAACGAATTATTGACTTTAGATTGTCAAGTATAGTAATGAATCAATCAGTCTTTGAATGTGTTTTTCACTTTTTTAGCTTTTGCTACATTAAAATGTCTATGGTGATAATCAGAAATGTAAAATTCAAATTCAATTCATATTTGGCTAAATTGACCACGGGTTGTATTAAGAATCCAATCAACTGTAAACCACTCACGTAACGGTGTTAGGTGTCCTGTTGTGAGCTATCCATGAGTTCCTTTGATGACTCATAGCCCTTCAATTTATATATTCAAGGTCCCAACAAAAGTTTTGGCAACTCCCCACTAGATGGCAAGAGAGGAAGGGACGATTAGCCATATCTTTCTTTTCTCGGCCTAAGGATCTCCTCTCTCAGGGACACCGAACACTTTTGTATTGCCCATGGGAACGGGGGTAGCCCTGCCTACCATAGGTCCTTGGTTCGACCTCTTAATGAGCTTTTTGACAGCATTACTTTCTGAAAACAAGTGTAAGAGATATCCCCTGCTTCAGAAGAAGTTGGGAAAGAAGGATTGATAATCAAATAATGGAAGAAAGGCACATCTCTAGCTAAAGATTGACAACAGGAATCGAACCTACAAATTTTCTCGATTGGACACTTTACTCGTTCTGTCATGGAGTAAACATCGCTTATTCTGTCTTGCCATTATTTCTATGGGCTAATAGCACAAAACTTCCCTACGTTTGACACTTATTGCGGAAAACGTTCCTACGTTTCATTTTTTTGCATTTTCGTCCTTATATCAACGTTTCATTTCTAAAAATGTCATTTTCACCATTTTTGAATGTAAAATGACCAAAATACCCTCCCATTTAAATAAAACAAAAAAAGAAAAGAAAAATAAATAATAAATTACAATCTTACTCCTAAATATTTTAGAAAGTGTAAGTGAGTCCAAATAATTATTAAAAGGCATGGTAGCACAAAACGTCCCTACGTTTGGCCTGTAGTGTGCAAAACGTCCATACGTTTCAAATTGATAAAAAGGGTAATTGACACAAAACGTTCCTACCTTTCAAGTTTATTGTGGAAAACGTCCCTACCTTTCATTTTTTGGCATTTTTGCCTCTATTTCCACCTTTCATTGCGAAGAAGGTCATTTTCATCCTTTTTTCCAATAAAATGACAATTTTACCCCCAATTCAAATAAAACAAAAAATTAATAAATAACTAATTGCAATCACAGTCCTAAATTTTTCAAAACATTACAGCTTAGCCCTAAATTCTCCTCCACCACCACTTTCACAACCCAAACACCTTCCGGCCACCATACCCGTCGGACTCCACCACCACCAGCCTTACCTCACTCTCCCCTACCTTGAATCCATCTAAATTCGTTGAAAAATCAAACCTAAATCTCTAATTCCAACGACAAAATAAAGCCAAAGATCAAGCCAATTCCGACAAAATCAAGCCAAAATCTCCAATTTCGACGATACCTATGCCATGCCCAACATTCTAGTGAATTATATACGTCAATGCATCCCTTTACATGGTCATCAATCATCCATAAACACATGGAATCAAAACCAGCAGGCTCATCTTCGAACACAGAGATCGTGCAACTTTCATACGAATTTTTCGACGACGATGGTGGGACCCATGATCGTGAACCACTACTACAGGCACCTACTCTTCATGGTGCATCCAATGAATATATGGGTCGTCCACAATTTGGCCTGGAAATGACAGTTTATGGGTTTTCTTCCAATAAACAACCTACTCGCGCAAAGGAGGTTTTCTTCCATCAATTCATTGCTCAAAGTGATTCAATACCCAAATCAACATCGGGGAAATGAAATTCAATGTCAAAAAGCATTGGGTAATAGCTCAATTGCAAAAATTGTAGCACTCGTTTGTCAATTTTTGGAGTCAAATGATATTTTTCATAAACCTATAACTGCCAAATTTTTGAGATTATGGCTTGATTTTTCGGTGAATTCAGGTCTAGTGGTGGTGGAGTCCGACGAATATGGTGGTCGGAAGGTGGTTGGGTTGTAAAAGTGGTAGTGGAGGAGAATTTAGGATTAAGTTGTAATGTTTTAAAAAATTTAGAACTGTGATTGCAATTAGTTATTTATTGATTTTTTTTTTGTTTTATTTGAATCGAGGGTAAAATTGTCATTTTATTGAAAAAATGACGAAAAGGACATTCTCCGCAATGAAAGGTGAAAATGAGGGCAAAAATGTCAAAAAATAAAAGGTATGGATGTTTTCCACGATAAGCTTGAAAGGTATGAACGTTTTATACCAATTACCCTTGATGAAAATGACGTTTTTCGCAATGAAACATGAAAATAGGGATGAAAATGTAAAAAATAAAAATAAAAATAAAAATTGAAACGTATGGACGTCCTCTACAAGAAGTGTCAAAGGTAGGGATATTTTTCACAAGAAGTGTCAAAGTTAGGGACATTTTTCACAAAAAGTGTCAAACGTAGGGATGTTTTGTGCTATTAGGCCTTATTAAAATTGAAACAATTGTCAAACCGACGAACCTCCATACCATTTCCAAAATACCATCACCCAAACTCCGGCGGCATCACCTATTCTAGAGAGATCCATGTCATTTCCAATACATCAATCGACTATATTCACTAGGGCACTTCTCTTCATGATCTCTTCTTCTCCAAATGGAAATGTCACCTTAGAAATGAAAAAACTCCGACCAACCATCGCTCAAACTGTTGAACCTCTATACCATTGAACCATCTGTTGATGTTTTAAGACCATGAAGAAAAGCGTCCTGATGAGTATAATCGATTGGTGTGTTGAAAATGTCATGGATCTCTTCGGAACGTGTGGTGCCGCCAGGGTTTTGGTGATGGTATTTTGGAAATGGTATAGAGGTTCAGTGATTTGGCAATGATTTCAATGTTAATACGGTTTAATGGCACAAAACGTCTCTACGTTTGATACTTCTTGTGAAAAACGTCTATACGTTTGACATTTCTTGCAAAAAAATCCATACGTTTTAATTTTTTTTTTTTTGCATTTTCATCCTTATTTTCACGTTTCATTGCGGAAAACCTCATTTTCATCAATTTGAAACGTAGGGACGTTTTGTACATTACAAGTCAAACGTAGGGACGTTTTGTGTTATTATGCATTTTAATAATTATTTGGACTCACTTGCACTTTTTAAAATATTTAGGAGTAAGATTGCAATTTATTCTTTATTTTTCTTTTCTTTTTTTGGGATTTTATTTAAATAACAGGGTATTTTGGTCATTTAACATTCGAAAATGGTGAAAAGAACGTTTTTAGCAATGAAACATTGAAATAAGGACGAAAATACAAAAACATGAAACATAAGAACGTTTTTCGCAATAAGTGTCAAACGTTGAAACGTTTTGTGCTTTAACCTCTTTTTTTTTTTTTCTTTTTTTTATATCACATGCTCTAAAAAAAAAAAACTATTCTGAGGAAAAAAAAAGGGGGGGGGGGGGGGTTACATAAGAACGTTTTTCGCAATAAGTGTCAAACGTTGAAACGTTTTGTGCTTTAACCTCTTTTTTTTTTTTTCTTTTTTTTATATCACATGCTCTAAAAAAAAAAAACTATTCTGAGGAAAAAAAAAGGGGGGGGGGGTGGATTTTAAAATGGAAAATTCGTTGAGGGAAGTTTCTGAAATTTTTCGAGGAATAATTCTACTCAAACAAATTGAGTAGGGCCCTGTTTGAGAAGCAGCACTCTTTTTTGAGTGGGGGAGAGTTTTTGTAATTGTCACAAACCTTGTGCTATTTTTCGAATGTTTGCGCCTTTTTTGGAGTAAACGCTAAACTCCAATCTCCTGGCTTCTCTGGGCTTTTCAACTTTCATCTAACACATCGGTCTCTGCTCTCCTAGTGGTAAAATCGCCTTCCTTTTGCAATTCGTGCTTGCGTATGTGTTATTTTTTTTTGTTTTTTTTCTATAATTCCATCTCGCTGTTTTTTACAGGTTTTTAGATTTCCTATTTAAATCTGATCAACTATGCAGCTGACTCTTGAGTTCGGGTACCTTTTTCCCAATTTTTCGCTTAGTTAATGTTCTGCATAGTATAGAGTAGTATCTAATTAATGAAAATAATATTGATTAATTACTGTCTGGAAGAATTTTTGCAGTCCCGAAAAAAGAAAGTAAAAAAATTCTATCTTGGTAAATACCTTTGACGAAACTCGTACAAGGAGAACTGGAATCAGACTTTTGGAAGCTTTTTCTCGTATACTTGATTTTCAATTTTTTTTTTCCTTCCCTCAAATTTCAAGTAGTTATGTTAAGCCAATGAACTGTTTTTGTAGTAAGAATCTCGAGGTCCCTTATTTAGGGAAATTATGGATCGGGATAAAAACGGAGGATTTAGCTTTGGGCAATACTAATACAAACTAGGGATCATCCCCCCATGTAAGGTGCCATTAAGACAGTGGATCTCGTATCTACATATTTAATTGATCTTATTATTTGACCCAGAGCATATTCGTTAGCTTTTAATCAAGTCCATCAAGTGTTCTTAACATTTTTTTTATATCCCAAGTGCAATCATGTGGGAATCTGATTTTTAAGTCCTTGGTTTCTTTTGCATTTTATTTATGAAATTTCACCCTTGGTAGATAGGAAAACAATTCAAAGCAACTTTCTTTTTCTTTTTTTTTTGAACTTCAAGACATTTTTCAATTATGGGGTTGAGGGAGTGAATGTATATTGATTATAATTGTAAATTATTAATGGAAGAACTATTTTACCATCTACAATGGGCAGAACTTTCATTATTTGAGAAGATAGTATTGTTTGGTTGATTACTTACTATCCTCAATGGACCTCTTGATGCCACAGAGTGGCAAAAACCTTGAAATCTTTGTTCATGACAGCGTCCTGGGATTGATAACCTGAGAATATCTCATTCGGCATGGATGGATAGTAGCATGTCTAACAGGAATAAAATCAATCCATCCAATCCAAAAATTTAATTTATTGGAAATCATCTATTTAATTGATTCTCCCGCTGAATTTCAAGTGGTTTATGGTGACAGTTTTACTGACCAGTAACTAAAAAATATGATAGGCACTGCTACTTCAAGATTCAACTTCCTTTGCTCAAGATTCAACTTTTAAAAATGTCCCTAGGCTTCTTAGATAACTGATTGTTGATGAATTTTCCCCTCAAAATTACATGTAGGCCATGTGGTGACTCCACTACATTAAAAATAAGACTAATACATAGATGATCTGGTCAAAGTCTTAGAAGGATTGACTTTCCTTGGTATTAGCCCTTGATAAGCACCCATGGGATACCTTACATGATGTGGATATACCAATATACAATCAAACTTAGAAAACTCTGTTCGAAATACCAGCGTTGATCTCCAGCTTCTTTTTTCTTATCATTGCTTGTTTCAACAGCAGCCCATACTTCACTGGTTATCCTCTGCATTTGGTGTATGACATCTAGCAAGTTATTTGAGGAGTTGTAGATAGAACCTTATTGGTATGTGTTAAAGTTAGTGTTTTTTAAGATTAGCAACAGCAGTTGTATAGTAGGTTAGATTGATCCTTCCAGCTAAAACAAGGACCGTTGTATGTTGAATTTTATCGCCTAAGAAAGCAGTTATGTTGTTTATTTCTGTAACTCTACCGACTTTCTAGAAGAGGGGTTGCTGATAATGCCAATATTGTGAAATTCTGGAAATCTAACTTGCAGCCCTTCGATAATGCTTGTAGTTTGTTGAACTAAACGACTGTAAATTAAGTTTGCATGTCTCCATCACGTTCATTTCTGATGACTTGTATGATATTGTGCATCTCCACTGTATCCTTTCCATCATATGACTTACAAATTTAACATAGTGAGATTAATTTAATGTTGCTGTGATACATTCATTAGTGAGTTTTGCAAATATCAATTATAACATTGCACACTCAGTGAACAACCTCAGAGACATTCTGTTAAGTGTTGACCATTTCAGTTGCAGTAGTTCTCGTTAATTAACGCTTCCAAACATTTGTTAAGCAGCTGGATAATGGGCAACTAGAAAACAGATTTTTATCAACTTAATCAAGAGCCTATATAACAGAAATCACATCATACCTTTTCAATCACAACAAATTTAAGTTTCACTTGTGCACTTTCTTGCTGCACTCTCTGATTATATTTGAAAAGCTTGAAGTGCAGATTAATTTGCCCTTATCAATGGGTTAACTATTCATCCCCTCTGCTTTAACATCTCGAGGACCCTAACCTAAGACCTAACTTGTAGCTTCTTCTAAAAGTTCTTTTAGCAAGACAAAGCACTTTCAAAAAATTATTTAAACATGTTCAAAAGCAGTTCTTAATCTCAGAGCTTTTGGCTTGTCAAAAGTCCTGCCAAACGGACCCTTATTCTGCTTGATGATTAAGTGTTTTTTGGCCTGCAATGAGTTCTTTATTTTCAATAATTGATTTTCCACCTACTTGGATTTTTGTTCCATTCTTCCCATTTTTCTGATTTTTAATTTTTAATATCACAACTCAGTGGAGGACTGGAGCTTCTATGTGATTCTGTAAAGATCCATAAGGTCGATGTTGACCCACAGACTGAGGAAGAGAAGGTTTGATCTCTTTTAATTTATTTCGTTTCAAGTGAAGCTTGAACTAGTTTTAGTTCCGACTTCTCACTTACATGTTCAATTGAACTAATATTAGTATTTTGTTTTTATAACTCCAGGTAACAATGAAACAATTGCTCCCTTGGATTCGCACCAATTTGATCAAGGAGAGGCCTGAAATGTTTATGAAAGGCGATTCCGTGTAAGTGGATTAATTTGCATTGTATATCTCAAGATGCCCGAAATAATAGTGTGAAAGTTCAATGATCCAAGATTCAATTGTGCTAAAAGCTCTTCTATTCTATTCTATTCTATTCAGTTTGCCACTATTTTCCAATGCCATTTGAAACCTAACTGGCATCTCCCATTTGTGCACCTGCAGCTTCCTTATCTTTCTAAATGCTTTCTACTGTATAAACCTGCGTTGGTCCCACCGAGTCATTGGAACGAAATTAATTTCAAATTAAAGCATGTAACAATTTCGTGTATAGCTTTGCCTGCTCCAACTTATAGCATGTAAAACTTCAATATTTTTCCAAATTGATTTGATCTTTTGACTAGAGAACTATTACAACTTATTCGGTTTGGTGATGTAGTTTATGATTACCTATTAACATATTTAAATTCAATTAACACTGACTCCATTTCAAATTTCTTCAATTTAATCTAATATTTTGTATTTTTTGCACCCACTTAAAGCATTCTAAGACTTGTATCTGATCTTGGAACATGGGATTTTCATAAACATAGATGTTTGCATAACAATGCCCTGCTCCCCCCTCCTCTCCACCAATCCCCAGTCCATTGTGTTTATGCTTTCAAATGTTATGAAACCCGAAGCCTGACCTCCAGCAAATGAAAAAGATACTTAAACAAGGCAAAACACCTTCATTAACATAAAGCTATGTTATCCCTTCCAAGCCCAACTCAAAAGGAGAAAACATGGGGAACACTCCAATTACAGTGGGAGAAAACCAGGGTTTTATGGGTTTCAAGCTTATTCCAATACGAAACCGTATATATCGCCACAAGGGGAATGCTCTCCGACTTGAATGGAGAAAACCGGTGTTTATATACATATATATAAATTGGTAGCTTATCCAAATCGAACTTGCTCATTCCGAAAATGAATTGAAGTGATGAAGTTTCCTTGAATTTTTTGTTTTATATGCAGAAGGCCAGGAGTTCTGGTCCTTGTAAATGATTGTGATTGGGAACTAAGCGGACAGCTTGACACAGTGCTGGAAGAGAAGGATGTCATCGTTTTCATTTCGACGTTGCATGGCGGATAGTTTCTATATTATCTCTATAATTTCAATGATCATAAAATGTTCAAGAACAGTGCTGATGCTCGGCATATCATAGATTGTTATCAAGAGCCAAATTTTGATGCTTGCTATTTATTATTATTATTTTTTAAATTGAGGAATTATATTTGCAAGTTTTTAGTGAGTTTAATATTCTTGTCATAATTTGAGATTTTCATTTTATTAGGGTAATGTTCAACTTTTCTTATAGCACTGTGATTTTATTGCACTAAATAAATAACCTCCTATAGGTGGTTCACAACACATTTATAAAATATACTTATTGAGATTTTTTTTATTTATTATTATTATTTTTTTTTTGTGGAAATTCGTTGCTTGGTATTTTATTATTATTATTTTTTTTTGGGAATTAATTGTTTCAATGGTTGTTAAACTTAGATCCATGTCTTTGATTGGTCACTGAATTTAAAATGTCGAGTTTTGGTCACTGAATTTAAATTTATGTTTTCGATTGCTTACTGAAATTTAAAATATTGAGTTTTGGGAATTGAACTTTTGAAAATGTTGTATATTACTCACTAGTTTAAATGTTAAACTTTGGAAAATATCGACTTTACAGTGAGTAATGTACAATATTTTTCAAAATTTAATGGTCAAAACTCGATATTTTAAACTTTAGTGAGCAATCGAAGACGTGAATTTAAGTTCAGCGAATAAAACTCAACATTTTAAAATTTAGTAACCAATCAAAGACATGGACTTAAGTTCAGTGATCATTGGAACAACTAACTCTTTTTTTTTTTTTTTTTTTTTGGCATTATTAGGAATCGACAAAAAATTAAACATTAGCCTTTTCCTGTTCGTTTGTGTTTATTATTTTCATTCGAGCTATCTTGCATCACTTTTCTTGTGGGTTGCTTATCTGCTTTTTGTATGTTGAACTGAAAAAAGATTGGACGTGTCAATTGAAAGATATTTCATGCCTTTCTCTTCTTTAATTCAATACAGTTAACATAACTAAATGATGGCATTGTGAGATGAATCTGATTTCTATACATTTTTTGGTTTAAATAGTTAGGTTCAACGTGCATGAGTCTGATATGTGTACCAAAAAGGGTACTATTGAAATGTTTGTGGTAGCTATTGGACCCTTATTCTTTTCTAATTGCTAGAAGTGGAATTTCGTGGCAAGATGTGTAGCTGAATGTACTCTTTGTATTGTACCTGTCTTAGTCTTAGGTTGCAAGTGACAAATTCTTACAAGTAATGTCTAATGTCTCTTTCGATACAACACAGCAAAACCTTAATTTGACTCTAGACATTGATAAGAAGGTACATTTTGCCCTTATTTGGCAGATGTCAAAATCTAAACTTTTGTTAAAGTTAAAGTCGATAATTGATTTTTATCACATATTTCTTTGGATTTAAAACTTTTTAACCACGCATTTTTTGAACTTTTATCAAAATTTGTTAAAATGTTGATTTTATTCCCATCAATAGGGGCTTTATTTATTTTAATTGTCCAGCTTACTTTGTTTATTCTTGAAAAATTCAAAAACAGAGTAAGTTATATGAAAGTTGATAAAAATTAAGGGTCCAATGAAATGTGTGATTTAAAAAAAAAAAAAAAAAAAAAAATAGATGTAAAATTCTATGTCTAGGTTGTGCATAGATATCAATATTAATTTGGGGGTGTGACAGTTCAATCAGTGTATTTTTAAATTTTTAATAATCAATAGCGCATCTCATGTTATCATGCCTAACACAAATTTTAGGAAGAAAGTCAAGTGGCTATGTAAAAGATTAATTTCAAGTTTCTTAGATGGATTTTCATAGAACTTAACACATTCAGGACATTACGCAATAATGATTTCTAATTTGTTAGATGGCCTTTCATAGAGCTTAACACATTCAGGACATTACGCGATAATGAATTCTAGTTTGTTAGATGGACTTTTCATAGAGCTTAACACATTCAGGACATTACGCGATAATGAATTCTAGTTTGTTAGATGGACTTTTCATAGAGCTTAATAATTTCAAGTTTGTTAGATGGATTTTCATAGACCTTAACACATTTAGGACATTAGCGATAATGATTTAAATTATGACACAAGGGAATATGACTCTCTCTCTCTCTCTCTCTAAACTTCTTTCTTTCCTTTTGATATATATATATATTGACAACTAATAAAGCGTCATGTAGATATTTATGTGTGTAGGACGGGTCAATAGTGCACCCTAAGCTGAGAAGCAAAAGGATGAATTTGTTTACGGAGAGATTTGATTGTCCTTTGTTAAATAGTTGATCTACATGTACGTTGAGGGAGAGAGGGCGGAGAGATTTGAATAGTCTAATTTATTTTATTAACTCATAATCTTTATTTTTCAAATATTTTAACACGATGCAACGTAAGATATATGTTGCTAGAAAATTAAATAGGTTGGTAAAATAATAATAACCTACATACCAATCACTAATATATCTAGAAGAAATGGTCTCCGTTTGGTAAATTTATTCCATGAAATATGTGAATAATAATAAATAATGAATCCCATAAATTTAAATATGATTGAAATTAATGTTTCACTTTAATTAAATGTATAAATTATATTCACTTAACCGTTTTTAGGACATTAATTGTACCATATAAAGTTCATCACTACTCTAATCAGCTATGGGGGGCTTTGCCCTAACTATTCTATAATATCAATTGATTCAACAATTTCTAATATCACATATCTCAAGCTTCATTCGTTTTAATTCGTATCAATTTTCATAATTGTTTCATGCACAAACCTAAAATGACTTCGCATGAAGTACACACTTCCATTCGTTCGTCACATCTAACTCTAACATTTATAATATACATGAAAAAAGAAGGGATTGCACATTATGTAAAAGATAAAATACAATAGATCATTTTAAGGCTAGAAAAAATTTACTATGTGCAATCACTACAAAAAAAACATGGTTTCAAGAGCAGATTTTTCGATCTTGAAATCACGATATCTTTTGCTATTAATTTTTACTTACGGAATATCAACAACCACAATTTAGTTGTTTCTTTCATGGTCGTTGATAACTACCAACGGATTACACTGAATGTAAAGAGTAAACCTTTTATCAAACCGAATTTTTGTTGGTAAAAATTTTAATCATCACCAACCGACTTTTCGTAGGTAAATGTTTATCATTACAATTGGTAAAAATTCAAAAATAAGAGACTAAGGGTATGTTTGATTGCAAACATGGAATTTGCATGGAAATGAAATAAATTCTAGGTAATTTAATTGCCTAAAACTTATTTACATGAAAATTGTTAATAAAACGTGTTTGATTGATTTAATTTCTAACTTAGAAAATATTATACTTGTTCGCTTTTTATTGGTAGGTAGATGAAAGAGAGTGGATAGATAAGAAAGAGAAAGAGAGAGTGAATTCTCTGAAAAATAAAATCCTACTAAAAGTAAGTGAATTCCTTGAAAAATAAAATTCTACTTCCCCTAAAGAAAATATTTTTCTTGATTTTGAGAAAAAAATATAATCACATGATCAAAAGTATGAAAATGTTTTCCATAAAAAAAGGCAATAAAACAGCAATAAAGTAGGAATTTTGGTGAAAAAACGTATTTTTCATTGAAAATATTGGCAATCAAACGCAACCTAAGTATGGCATATTTCAAAATTAAAAAATAAAGTTTCAAATTTCAAAAATTAGATATTTTAAAATTTTATTTATAAATTAATTTATTAAATATAATTTTACTAATTAAATATATTGAGGTCACAATTCTATATAATTTGGTCACAGTTATTTAATTAATTAGTCACAGATTAATTTTTAATCATAACTTATTTCTAGATCATGAATCAATAAATTTGTAGGTTACAGATTATTTTTCGATCACGAATCAGAATTTTATAGGTCACAAATAATTCTTCGATGATAGAATCAAAACTTTTATTAGTCACAACTCATTTAGTTATTATAAATTATTAGATGAATTGGTCACAATTAATTTTTCGATCACAACTTAATCAATTGTAAGTCGCAGTCACAATTTTTAGATTACATATTACAAATTAACCAATTATTAGTCATAATCAACCAAATAATTGGTCACAAGCATTCAACCCGATCTCATCATATCCACGATCACCATCACTATCACCATTACCACCACCAGACCTTGCAAAATCACAATCGCCACCCAAACACCAACAAAACCATCGCCCAAAAAATTGAAAATGAAAATCGCCCAACCTTCAACAAACCATTGCCACTCCAACATACTAGAACCAAAACAAATGCTTGTGCCACCACCATCACCACCTATTACACAGCTACCGCAACCCACCACTGAATCGCTGCCACCACCACAACCATTACATAGTTCGTCCCATTCCACAGTTGTTGTCGTCATCGTCACCACCAACAACCACAACTACCTACTCTTCAACTTCGATTTGTAGCAACCACAACTAGATTGAGCATCACCTATGCCATCCTACACACAAAGCACCACCACAACCACCACCACCATCACCTCATTGCCAACCACCACACCAACTCCCAATAGATTGAATCAAATACAAAAAGTCCCAAAAAGTCGTTCACGTCGCCACCATCACCACCAAACTGTACCAACCACCTGTAGAACCACCATCAGCACCAAGGCAAAGTCGGTCTACAACGTTCACATCGCCGTGCGATGTAACAACGATGATGTTGCTTCACACTGTTGCGCTATGACTCATTATCACGACGATAGCGCTCACATCAGACGAGGTTATTGGAGTAGCGACGGTGAGCACAGCTGTCGGCAATGTCGTGTGAGCACAATTGCCAGCAACATGGGATAGAGAGAGAGAAAATGGAGAAGCAAGATGTGTGTGTGTGTGTGTGTGTGTGTGTATAGATATGAGAGAGAGAGAGAGACGAGGGGGAAATTGAAAAATTTTATATTTAATTTTTAATATTCAAATATGAATTATCCGATTTGTGAACACAAATCTTTAAAAGTAGGGTGTGGTGTAATTTCCTCTTTAGAGAAGGCATTTTCAAAGACTTTGTTTTTAACTTTTGATGTGGAATAAGAATTCCTTTAGTTGGGTTGCAATGAACTGTATGTTTAGTTTGACTGTAGTTTATAGTACTATTGTATAAATAATAATTTATATTTTATTACCCTCCAACTATGTATATTTAGTAGGTGAATGA